GTATCTAGAGTTTTTTCCCACAGAAATTTTGTGTGCTCAGCCACTTGAGTCTTACAGTGTAGGCTGTAATCTTTGGAAATACAATTTTAAATTGTACAATATTATAATCCTTCTTTCAGCTTTTATTTTCCATATAGATGCTTGCATACATTGTGTTTGAACATGCCTTTTATCATGCCAAGCCACTGAATTACTCATTCATACCTTTCTAAGTTGCTAGGTGTGTTCAGACATGTAAGGTACTTTGCACCTGTGTTTCAGGCAACTGTATGATCTGTGAATTGGATCTTTGAAATGAAAACAACCCAGCTTCTATTTTCAGACTTGAAGAGTGTATGAACTCATCTGTGGTTACACATTTAAAATTGCTACAAACCAAAATATTGTCAAAGTAGAGATAATATTTTTTCCCTCAGCACTCTGACATATATAGGTGTTAAAAGACTGAAGAAACAGAAATAAATTAGTTTGAGGAAGTAACACTTATGAGTTGCACAATAATGGTTTTTTTATACCTGCAAACACACCTGACTGTCTGCCAGAGACTCCAGATACATTGAAAGCATAGCTATTGATGCCTCAAAACAGAAGTCATTGGAGGCTGTGAAAGAGCCTTTTTGGCTCTGTTTACTTATAATTTAAAGAAAAAAACACCCATAAGGAAAAGCTTCCAGTGGCAAGACATTTTAGAAGAGGCAACAACAACTTTTAACTTCTCTAGAACTGTCTCCCTCATGGGCCTTTTGATGCAAGTCACACACTTTCTCTTAGTAGTATGCCCCTGCTCTTCCTTGCTATTTGTATATATGAGCTATTTAAAAGGTCATCTGCATCTGCTTAAAAAAAAAAATTCAAGGGAGGGTGGTGGGGGGGAGGGGAAGCACCTAAAGCATCAACCTTTGAATTGCTGTTGGAATTATTGGCTATTTATACATTTATCATTTCAAACAAGGTGCAGGTGAAACATTTCTAAAGCTCCCTTTTCTATTCTTTTTAATTCCTTGAGTGAACATATGTACTGTGATGAAATGGACTCTACTTTTCCTGAGCTATGGCTTTGAATATAAATCCTTTTAGTTTATCAGCTTTTTCGTTTTGGAACGTCTTTTTCTGAAAAGCAGGTAGACTTTTAAAATTGAAAAAGAAAATAAACTGAAAGGAACTGGTGATTTCAGACTAAATTACTTCCCTGTTGTTTACACTATTTTGAAGTACGATGCCATTTTAAATGCAATATATAATAATGTACAAACTCTTGAGTTTGGAAACCACCCAAGAGACTCTTCTCCGTGATTTTACATCAGCTGGAAGGATGCCCATAATGTAGGCTTTTTTCCCTCCATAATCTTCCCAAAAATTGATTGACCCGATTGCACCTTGTGCTTGCATAGAGTGGAATTGTGTCCTGTAGAAAACAGTTTTAAAACGTCAGATCACTGCTACTGGGATTATTTTTTCTTTTTTTTTTTTTTTTTTTTTTTGGGGGGGGGGGGGGGGGAATAAAAAAAAAAAAAA